TGATACCCATCTAACAGACATTTGACCTTTATATATAGTCATACATAATGCAAACCCTATACAAACTGCATATAATAAATAGTACCAAAAGCTATGCCTAGAGTTAACCCAAAAACAGTGCATTTCATCACTTAATGGGCAACGAATAGCGCGTGATATTAGACCAGACATTACACGTAAACAACACTGCATTTCATTGTATTATAAACTGATTGTGTGTTTCAATGACTAACACAACGCGTGATTTGATTACATTTAACTAAATTAAAAGTTTAATTATAATTAATTAAAACACAGTGTGTTTAACAGTTAGAGAGGGGCCGGACAGTCAACCCCCACCCGCACCCCCTCTACCACTTCAACCAAGTGTTAATTTGGGAGACAATCACCACTAATAATAAACATGTGTTTTATATAAACAACAAAACAATTAAATTAATTGTTTAAAAAACTTTTTGTTAAAACTTTTTTCATTCACTCAAGTCTTTGTCGTTCACACCATTGGATCAATTGAAGTGACAATCAGTGACCATGTCTTCAGCGCCAGCACAGGCGCCACCAAAATCCCAGTCATCGATACTGTTATCCACGGCTAACCTCTCGTGGACGCCGACCTCCGGAGCGGCGCTGTTGGCCGCCCCTCAGCCCCCAGAAGTGGTCGCACCGCCGCCCACTGTCTCGTCGCCCGTGCCCTCAGACCACTCGTCCATCACTGGTCTTCAGCACTCGATGACCAACGAAGAGATCATACGATCGCTACGATTGCCTACCAGTGCTGTGGCGGACACCGAGTCTATCGATAGTCAGGCGCTGGAAGAGTCCTTTCAGACGATTAGTCTGGCCGATGGCCGCGCGGGCACACCCGTGGCTACCGGTGCCGCCGGTGGTGGCGATGATCTATTATCTGGCGAACAGTCACCGATCGGATCGACAGTGAGTTCCCTGTCCTCCGCCTCAGCGCTGAACCAAAAGCACCAGAAGTTGTCGTTCATTGAATCACTCGCCACAGCCTTTCACAAGACGTCGCAAGTGTTGGCCTCAGGTGGTGGTGGCGGCGGTGGTGGTAGCGGTCAGACGGGCGCAGCTGCTGCTGCCGGTGCTGATGGCCAACAGTCGATACCTGATAATTATCAGCCGCCACTGTCACAGTTTGTGCCCTCGCAATCACTACCACCACCACCTCCGCCACTGTCTGTGGCCGCCGTTCAGCCCCCGCCGCCGCCCCCACCCGTGCTCTCAGCGGCCGAGTCAGTGGTGGCCAAGGATTTTAAATTAAGAGGTTTTGCTATTTGTGTATAAGTTGTTTGTATTTGTATTGTGTTTTTGATTGTGATCTTAACTATAAGTTTTTAATTTTAATTATAACTGTTTTATTTAACTTAATTTCTCGTTTCATAATTAAATGTATTGTTTATATTAGTTATAAATTTAGTTTAATTAATAATTAGTTTAGATTACTTAGAATTAATTTAGTAAATAATAACCAATTAATTGTTTGTTTGTTAATAATTGTTTAATTGTTATTTATTAACTACTTTTAATCACATTTATTGCATTCAAACTACAGGTCCTCTTAGACTATACGACCCAAACCACGGCATCTCTGGACATAGCGGTGCCGCCGTCGGCCAACCCCTACCACCACAGCTACCACTACCGCCACTGCCATCATATATACCACAGGCCACTGATGACCAGTCACTACCGGCGCCGCAACCGGTACCGACACTGCCATTCCCACAGCCATCGGCCGCCGACACACTCTACAACCCTAACGATTACTACGACAACACAGCAGCGACGCCGGGCGGTCAGTCACCGGCACCACCACCTCTAGACATCGCCCAGTCATACACCGGACAGTCATACGACCTAACCTTTGGCGCTACACCACTACCACTGGACAACAGCGCCGCCAACAGCAGCGGCAGCACTACTACCGGCGACTACTCGTTCATAAGCCAACCCTCGGCTACAATCAATCCATGGGAGACCGCACCTGACCCGACACAACAGCAGCCATACACCGCAACACTAGACCAATTGGCCGGCACTGGAAGTGCCCAACAACCCTATCAGCCCTACACACCTGTACTTCACCACTGGTTTTACCAGCAAATTGTCGAGAACCGGGAGGTGTGGCGGCCATTCTCGCTATACGACTCCTATAACCTCGAACAGGCCGTACAGTACGGCCAGGACTACGGCCACGGAGGCTACGACGGGGCGACGACAACCCCAGCGGCGGTCATAGCCACCGACGGGGGCCGCTTCGACGTGTCGGTGCCCGAACGGATCCGTCGACCGGTGTATTGGTCAGAACCGGACACTCTGTGCCGCCGGTGTTCGTGGTTTTACCGCCGCGAGGGTCACAACCGGTGGATACCCTATACGGAAGAGGTGGCCGAGCGGTTGGAGCAGAGGTACCGCGAGTCAGCGGCCGGGAATCGTTGGAACACACGGGTGGAGTTGGATGGCGGCCAAGAGGCGGTGGTGATGCACAGCCCGCTGTCGATATACCACTACCAGTTGGATCAGACAATGCCCGACGGGTGGGGACAAGCGGTGGAGAACCCGCAGCGACCACGAGTTGTGTGTAGGGCCGGCCCGG